CTCGGCGTGGACGCCACGCTCTGCTGTCAGGCGCTGGGGACCCTGGACAGGGCCGGGATGGTGAAGGCGCCGACCCCCAAGCGCGCCCCGGGCGACCCCGCGGCTCCTCCAGGGCTCGTCGGGAAGCTAACGCAGAAGAAAAAAAGGAAGAAAAGATTCTGGCCAAATAAAGCGCGAGAAGTAAGCGAGAAACCGGCAAGCGACCCCAAGGTTGTCGTGGTGCGACCTCCAAAGGCACCGGAAGACTTTTCCCAAAACTGGAAGGCGCTGCAGGAGGTAAGACGAGAGGGGGGGTCCCCGCGATCCGCGCCGCTCATTTCTGGCGGTCGCCGCGGTTCGGAGTCAGGAGGAAGACTCGTGGGGCCCGAGGAGCGAGACTGGGAGGGAGGCAGCGAGCTCATGCGCGGGCCCAGAGCAGGAAGCCGAGGCAGAGGGTCCCAGCGAACGCAGGGCTTTTAAGAAGGTAACAGTTGAGGACAGCGGCCCTGGTTACCCAGGTCTTTAAGTGGGCAGACAGACACTGCCCTGTTGTCTAGTACACGGTCTTATGTAACCCCGATGCCAACAATGTGCGGTAGACCCCTTTATTATCCTCATTTTATAGATGAGAAAATGGGTCCAGAAAGGTTAAATAAATATTCCGGGATCGCAGCCCGATGGACACAACCTAGAAGTCTGACGCTAGGATCCCTGCTCTCGACACAGCATTGTACCTGCTCCCTTTCTCAGCGTCCGTGGGCAGTATTTACATAGAGGGTTCTCAGTGCAACGCTGGTTCATGTGCCTCACTCATAAATTCTCCCGCCCTCCCGTGGAGTTAGCTGCTATTATTGCTGCTTTCTAAATGGGGAAATTGAGGCAGAGAGCTTAGGAACTTGGCCCAAGGTCACACGGCTAGTAAATGGCAGGCTGGGGTACAGTCACACGTTCGGGCGTGAGCGAGTGCTCTTAGCTACTACTGACCTTCAGGGTTTCTTCCAGTTTTCTGGATCCTGTTCCGGAGCCCCGGGGTGAGCGAGAATGCGCAGAGGAGAGCTGCTCGAGCCTCGCCCCATTGACCGTTGATAGCTCAGGGTGGGAGACTTCGTGATTCTTCTGTCTGGACAAATGGGACCGATGCAGTTCCCATGGGCAACCCAGGGCTCCGTCTGCCTTCTTGAGCTGTATCTCTGCCTCTTCCTCTCAAGAAAGGGAAACAAAATGGAATAAAAGGAGTGTTTATTGAAAGACCATGAGTTTTTTCCAGTTCATACAAGATAGTAGATGCTCGTTCTTTAACTATTGTGGGAACAGGTCAGCGGGACCCCACCTCATCACCTCTCGGCTGGTTGCCACGTGCCGGGGCCTTAGCTGTAGTTGAGGTGTGCCGAGCTGGGGGCTTGGGCCCGAGGAGGAGGTTTGGGGCTGGGAGACCTCAGAGCCCTCTGTGCGTGAAGACTGTGAGGAAGTGACTGTAAATGAACTCTGAGCAGGTGACTTAGCATCCCCGCGGCTCAGAGCGAAGTAGTCTCTGCAGTCACTCAGCGGGTACTCAGGATGTAGACTGTGAGCCTGAAACTTTGTAGGAATAAGAAAGCAGGTGTCCAATTGCGCATTGTTATGGTACAAGCAAAATTAGTTCACAAGTGAGTGACTTAGAGATGAGAATGGAGAAGGACTTTTTCCAAACCTTTGGGAAATGAATTTCGGTGATGCTGATAGGAAGTACGTGTAGATGTAGTCGACGTGTGTATGTCTACACGCACACGTAAGTTTTTCCTGTGTGATTTCCAAATCGTGTCATGTATTTTATTTGGGGTCCCCTTAGCTGCTGAAACAAAAATCGCAGGCCCTGGAAACGCCAGCTGTTACCTCTCAGGATTCCAAGCAGCACCCCGAAATCATCCAGCGGAACAGAAAGGCAAAGCGAGTTGAGATGGGGACAGGAAGGACAGCCCGACAGGCCGCGGGGGGCTCTGTTCCTCCGGGAGCGCCGACGAACAGGAAGGGGCCGGCACCGCCCACAGAGGCCAAAGGAGCAGAGAGCAACGAGAAAGGAACCAAGAAAAGGACAAATGGTGACATTTCTCCAAAACGAGGGGACCTCAAACATAAGAAGCGGAAAGCCAAGGAGGTGGCTGCAGCCTTGGCTCCAGCCCCGCCCACCGAGTGAGTACTGGCGGTCTGTGCCTGAGGATCGGCTGCGGTGACGGGCACGGCCTCCGCCACCCCGCGCTGCAGCCGGCCTCAGTCGTCCTCGTCACTGAGAACAAAGTCACAGCGGCTTAAGGCCTGTCTTAAGGAGGCCGAGGGTGGTGGCCCTTCCTCGTCACCCTTTCCCGATGCTGTTGGGAAGTCACAGCGGCTTAAGGCCTGTCTTCTTAAGGTGGCCGAGGCTGATGGCCCTTCCTCGTCACCCTTTCCCGATGCTGTTGGTTTTCTCGTTATCTGTTTCCCCCGGAGAGTAGGCACAGTGAGGCCAGGGCCTGCCCGTAGCCGCTGCATCCCTGGGGCCGGAGCAGAGCTGGGCACTTGGGAGTCCCTAGTAAAGACTGGCGGAATGACAGATGCCAAAGCCAGAGAGACCCGGGATTGAAAACGATTCCTGCATCTTGCCAGTTAGCGGGTTCGGGGCAAGTCCTTGATGTCCCCTGAGCCTCGCTCTGGTCCTCTGTGGTGTTGGGGGCGGGGTCTGTGAGGTGCAGGGTGCTGACTCAGCACCTGGTGGTTACTCAACAAACGCTGTGATGGTCACTGACAAGGGGAGGACCGGGGGTCAGCGGCTGCCTCTGCGTGGCTCAGATGGAGGCAGCGTGTGTGTAAGTCCGGCCGGCTGCGTGTGGCCTGGGTGTCAGGGACAGTTGCTGAGGGCCGTGGGGAAGAACAGTTTGGTGTGAGTGCCTGCCTTGTGTCACTGTGCCCGGTCGCACTCTGGGGACAGAGCAGTCACCACAGGCCCCTCGCTCTCGGCCGGTAGTTGAGTAGGGGAGGCAGATGACGAGCTGACACTATCTCAGTAACTCCGTCAGCGTGGTCAGGGTGACGGTGAGGGGGCAGCTGTGGGAGCAAACGGCCAGAGGGGCGGGTCCCCCGGCGGGGTCGGGAGGAGGTCGCTGAGGGAAGGACATTGCAGCCGATCCCGCGGGACAGACGCCCACGTCCCCACAGGGGCGTCGGGGGTGACCGAGCACCAGTGGCCAGCGCGTCGGGGCTTCGGCTACCGTGTCCCAGGCCGCGTGTTCACCGCTGTTTCTCAGATGTTTGACGGTGAACGTTTTCTAATTAAAAAGAAAAGAGACGAGAGGAGAGTGTGAGGGTCGAAATCTCGGGGGCAGCTGGGGGGCCCCGCTCGCCGCGCGGTCAGCCTGCGCCCCCCCTGCCTTTCAGAGGAGACATCTGGTTTGATGACGTTGACCCGGTGGACATCGAAGCGGCCATAGGCCCAGAGGCGGCCGCCGTAGCGAGGAGGCAGCTGGGCGGCCGTGAGCGCAGCGTCGCGCTGGCGAAGGAGCAGGCCTTCGGCGGGTAATTCGGGGGGCTCCCCCGCTCTCCAGGAGACCAGGCGGGCACCTGCCAGGGTCCCTGTGACCGCTTAGAGCTTGTCACCCTGCGCAGCACGGGGGACAGGCGGAGAGCCGGTGCCGATCCCTGGGCCCCTCGGCGCTGATGAAACGAGCTTCTGGTTCCCCTTCAGCCTGACGAGAGCCTTAGCCATGGACTGCGAGATGGTGGGCGTGGGCCCCGCGGGGGAGGACAGCATCGCCGCCCGCGTGTCCATCGTCAACCAGTTTGGGAAGTGTGTCTATGACAAGTACGTCAAGCCAACCCAGCAGGTGACCGACTACAGGACAGCGGTCAGCGGGATCCGGCCAGAGCACCTCAAGCAGGGTGGGTCCTGCACCGCCGCGGACTGAGGGAGAAGCGGGAGGGGGCTCGTCCCCCCTCTGTGCCCTGTTCCCTTCGTGCCCTGACCTGGAGCGTAGACCGCGGTGGGTCCTGGCCGGCTGGCCTCCCCCGGGGCGATGGCTCCCAGGCGGCTCTCACGCCCGTTGCAGCTTCGCCTCAGTGCCTCTGAGCCACGTGACCCGAAGACCCGGACACTGGCCCCGAAAGGCTTTGTGTCACTTGGCAGCAGGGACTGAGATGGAGTGTGTTTGAGGACCAGGAAGGAGGCGAGTGGGGGGCAGGGGCCAGGTCGTAGGATCTCGATCTTTGTGACGACTTTGGGAAGCCGTGGGGTGGCGGGGAACAGTGAGAGGCCTGGTCCGTCCCAGGTTCTGGCAGGTCCCGCTGGCCGCGGCTTTCAGAGTAGACTCCAGGGCCAGGAGGGCGACATCAGAGAGATGAGGCATGAGCTGTTGGTGACCTGGTCAGAGAGGTGGCAAGACATGGCCCAGCTCCAGATGCACCCTGCGGGCTGAGTCTGTGGGGTTTGCCGAAGGACGGGCTGTGTGTGTCGGGGATGGGCGGATGGCATCGGTGGCTCGCAGCTGAGGGCCGGAGAGGTCTCGAAACCCCAGGGGTCGAGGCCGCTTCATCTTCCTGCGGCCCGCACGGTGTCCCCCGCACCGCCTAGGGTCTCTGCACACACAGAACGAGGCCTGGCCGCTCCTCCGAGTCCCAGCCTGCCAGCCCCTCGGTTCTAGGCTTTAGCTGTCCTGCTTGGGCAGAGTCATGGGGTGCCAGCGTGGTCGCTGCAGCCCTTCCTTTTGGGGTGGGGGGCCGTCCCCAAGGGGTCACTGTGAGAAAGCCCAGGCCAGAGCCGCGCTTCTCTGTCTGTGGTGAAGGGCCAGTCTCGTCCTGTGTCCGCTGCAGAGACACAGGCACCAGCTCTGCCCTCGAGGTGGAGTCAGTGGCCCTGGGCGCCTCCGCCCGCCCCCGGGGCAGGGACCACCCGAGTAGGGGTGGAGCTCCGGCCTGTCCTCTAGAAGTGGCACTTGGTGGGGGCCCTCGTCCCTGGTGGCGGGTAGGCGGGCCGGCCTCGTGGGTCCCTCTGAGGTAGGACCGGAGGCCGGGGCGGGGTGGCCTCCCGTCCCTGTCAGAGAGCGGCCCTGATGTGCGCGTCACTGAAAACCGCTCCCTCGGGTCGATTTCAGGGGAGGAATTTGAAGTCGTCCAGAAGGAAGTGGCAGAGATGCTGAGGGGCCGGATTCTCGTGGGACATGCGCTGCACAACGACCTGAAGGTGTGTGGGACCTGAAGGTGTGGCCCCTCGGGCCCGCCGCCCACGCCCCGCGTCTGCCTGCGCCTCGCGGTGGCTTTTCTGTCTTTGAGTGCGCCAGATGTCAGGGACACCCGAGAACGGGATCAGATGCCACCTACTGAGTTCCTACTGTGTCCTGGGAGCAACGCCACGCACTTCCCAGAGTAGAGACCCTCATTCACACCTCTGGGAGGTGTCTGGCTGTCGCTCGGGTCTGTAGGCTCTGTGAGTTGAGTGCCCTGTGGCAGGCCGCGAGCCGGACCCGCTGCAGGTCCCACGGCGATAGCCTGGCCGCTGCCCAGTCACCTCCCGCACAGCTATTGGGCGCCCAGCGCCCCGCCTGGCCCCCCACAGCTCGAGGGGCCACAGTGGTGTGCGGAGGTCTGCAGGTGGGCAGAGAGGACCCGCATGTCCTGGGGGACCCGCGGGGCAGAGGGGGGGAGACTGTCCGCACCGTGGAGCCCTCAGGTGTTTCAGGCGTGGCTCCGCCGCTGTGTCCCAAGCCTTCTGACCTCAGTGGCCGCCACCCTCCTGGAGCCTCCCCTCCCCCCAGGCTGTGGCTGAGCTGTTAAAGCCTGTCCCAAAGCCTGTCCCCGCCCGC